CTACTACTACTACTACTACTACTACTACTACTACTACTACTACTACTACTACTACTACTACTACTACTACGACTACTACTATCACTACTACTACTACTACTACTACTACTTCTACTACTACTACTACTACTACTACTACTACTACTACTACTACTAATACTTCTACTACTACTACTACTACTACTACTACTACTACTACTACTACTACTACTACTACTACTACTACTACTACTACTACTACTACTACTACTACTACTACTACTACTACGACTACTACGACTACTACGACTACTACGACTACTACGACTACTACTACTACTACTACTACTACTACTACTACTACTATGCGAACGTCGCCCCCGAAAAGGGGCGTCGTGCGCGCCGAGTATAAGATCCGATGCGGACGCTTTCTGGCTGTACCGCTCGTGAAGCGATGTACTACAAGGTGGTTCTACTATGTGTTCGGGTCGGACGCACGCCTCCGAGGAGGAAGCGTAGTACTAGCATGTCCCTGCGCGTGCCATGACATCCGCCGGAATGGTTCATGTTGCACTCCGCGGCCCCAGAAGCCCCGACCGGTTCCAGAGGGGTGGCTTCTCCCCTCGGAGTCACTCCCGATGGCCCCGGGGGCCCGATGGCGGCCTCCGAGGGCCGCGGTTCGGGATCACCGCCGGTTGAAGGCATCAAACCGATGGAGATCTCGGCGGGCCGCCCCCTCAGGGGCAACGAGGAGGAGGAGGAGGAGGAGGAGGAGGAGGAGGAGGAGGAGGAGGAGGAGGGGGAGGAGGAGGAGGAGGAGGAGGAGGAGGAAGAGGAGGAGGAGGAGGAGGGGAGGAGGAGGAGGAGGAGAAGGAGGAGGAGGAGGAGGGGGGGGGATCGACCCCCAATCGCCGATTGATCGCCGACGGGGGCCTGACAGCCGGGGGGGGTGGCATCGAACCCCAATCGCCACCGTATCGCCGATGGGGCCTGGCAGCCCCACCCCCGCCCAGGAGCGTGCGCAGCTGCTCCAGTGGGAGCCCATGCCAGGAGACACCCTGCCTGCCTCCAGGGTGCCCTGGGTTCCTCGGGTTTCGATGGCTTTGCGGTGGGAAGCGTGCCGTCCCCGCGCCAAAAGTTCATGGACGTCCTGGGGTCTCAGGGTTGGGCTGTTTGCTGAAGGTTTCTGGGGGGACTGGCTGGCCTCCACTGCAGTTGCCGAGGGGCCTTTCGCCGATCTATCGGCGATGCAAATCGCCGATGCCAGGTCGACGCTCCCCGCCCAGTGCCAGCGGCCCCCTATTTTATCTCCGCCCCTCGCCCTCTGGGCCCCGCCGGTCAGCAGAGCCAGAGAGAGAGAGCCAGCCGTTCGGCAGGCTGCCACCGCCCACCAGACCACCCCAACCCAACCAGCTCCTCCTCCCCCTCCCCCTCCTCCTCCTCCTCCTCCTCCTCCTCCTCCTCCTCCTCCTCCTCCTCCTCCTCCTCCTCCTCCTCCTCCTCCTCCTCTTCCTCCTTCTCCTCCGCCTCCACCTCTTCCTCCCCCTCCCCTCCTCCTCCTCCTCCTCCTCCTCCTCCTCCGCCTCCTCCTCCTCCTCCTCCTCCTCTCCTCCTGCTCCTCCTCCTCCTCCTCCTTCTCCTCCTCCCCTCCCTCCGAGGAGCCCCTGGGGAGCCTCCGCCTGGCCAGGAGCGTCCTCTGCCTTCCGAGAAGCATGGACGGGGAGCATGGAAAAAAACACAGGAAGCCCCCCCCCCCCCCCCCCCAAGCCGAACTTCGGGCGAGATTCGGGTCTTCGGGTTGGGTTGGGGTGGTCTGGTAGGTAGTCAGGATGGGGCTGGGAGAAGCAGTCTGGTCATTCATATCACCGCGCGTGTTGAATGCGCTTAGTATACAGTCGTGTCCTGCATCTTGCCAGCACATGCCTCCCTAGGCACATCCCGGATCGGGTCCGAGCAGATGGGGTCGGGATGGATCGCACCGCGTCGCCGCTGCATCGACGATGCGGCTCGGAGTGGAAGCCGATTTCCTCCGCGCCGGTGTCGCCGATGCGGTGCAATCCCCCGACCCCATCTACTCGGACCCCATCAAGGAGGCCTCTGTCCTCCTCCTCCTCCTCCTCCTCCTCCCTCCTCCTCCTCCTCCTCCTCCTCCTCCTCCTCCTCCTCCTCCTCCTCCTCCTCCTCCTCCTCCTCCTCCTCCATACGAGAACTGCCTTTCTCGAAGATGGCCCCCGCGCCCCGGCCAGTTCGACATGTACAACGGCGAGGTCTGCCCTGTCAACGCCCCGCGATCGGAGGCCCCGTGGCGCGACGGGCGCGCGAGCGCCGGGCCGCGAAGCTCCACCTGCGTGTAGTGCGTGCGAGGGGGGGGGGGGCATCGGAGGGCACCAACCATACACCAACACCGATCCTGGCCAGGATCACCCTGGGCCCAGGATCGGTGTATATGCCTGCTTGCCCGAGGCAGGAGGGCGTGTACACCGATCCTGGCCCAGGGTGATCCTGGCCAGAATCGGTGTTGGTGTATGGGTTGGTGCCCTCCTAGACTAGGCTCAGGGGCAACGTTGGGAGGCAACGCTGGGGAGTGGGGGCTCAGGGCAGCGTTAGGGGGCAACGTTGTGGGGGCGGGGGGGGGGCCGGGGGGGCTCCCTGGGGGGGGGGCCCGGTTCGGGCCCGGTGTTCGGTGTTCGGGCGCTTCCGCTGGTGCTCGGAGGTCTTGCAGCCTCGGGGCGCGCTCCAGCAGCCGCGCCTCGCCGAGAGCGTGCCGGGGGTGCCCCTGGCCGGGCAAGGCCCGAGGTGTGCTCCAAGAGCCGAAGCCCGAGTTGGGGGCAACGTCAAGGGGGATGCGTCGTCCCCAAATCGCCCATGGTCGCCCATAGTCGAAGCAGAGAGAAGGGCATACACATAAACTTCCCACGGTCCTCGCAGACTTGTTGGTTCTGCGCTGGAGCGCCAGGGAGGGGAGCCCAGCGCAGATCCAAGAAATCCTCGGGACCCGTCGGAAGTTTCTGTTTGTGCCGTTCTTCTCTTCTAGGTTCGGGCCCGATAGCCCTGCACAGGAGCGTGCGGATTTGCGATCGGGGTCCTACCGCCGATCTATCGGCGATTCTCGCCGATTCCAGGTCGATGGTTCCCCCCCGAAGCCAATCCTTTCCGTCGCTGCCCCTCATACGGGTCGAGACAGGCGCGGAGTCTGGTGGCCACCCTCACCCCCCCCGACGTCCCCTCGTCGCGGCAAGAGCTGGCGACGGGCGGTTCTTGGCCGTCTTCGGCCCTCGCCAGCCCTGGGGCCCGCAACCGATGGCTCGGCAGGACCGACGGGCCCCAGGGGAAGGAGGTGGAGGAGGAGGCGGCGAAGCAGGAGGAGGAGGAGGAAGCGGAGGAGGAGGAGGAGGAAGAGGAGGAGGAGGAGGCGGAGGCGGAGGAGGCGGAGGCGGAGGAGGCGGAGGCGGAGGAGGCGGAGAAGGAGGCCAAGGAGAAGGAGGAGGAGGAGGAGAAGGAGGAGGAGGAGGCGAAGGCGGAGGTGGAGGCAGAGGTGGAGGCGGAGGCGGAGGCGGACGATGAGGAGGAGGAGGAGGAGGAGGAGGAGGAGGCGGAGGAGGAGGGAGGAGGAGGCGGAGGAGATGGCTCGGCACGAACGACGGGCCCCAGGGGAGAACCCTGGACCGTTTCTGGGGTCCTTTCTGCGAGCAAAAAAAGCGGCGGTCGGAGGTCAGGGCCCTGTAGGATTCAGTTGGGCATGTCCCCCTACAGGAGGAATATTCAAGAACCGTGAGAAACAGTATGGGGACGGTAGTTTGCGCTTTTTGTTTGACTATGTTTGTTTGCTCCTCCCATATCTAAAGGATGGACTTCTTGTTCTGCTCCGTATCCAACGGATCGGGTTCTTGTTCTTTCTCCAACCGCGCCGACTCCTCCCTCACCTCAGAGGCCAGCAACATATGTACACGTACGCGTTTAGCTTCCCCTGGAGTGCGTGTCAACGCGGACGTTCGTGCAGGCAAGACCGCGGAGGGCGTACATGTACATATGTCGTTGCTCGCCCATCACCCCCTTCCTCCTCAGGGCCACACTCCGGGTCGCCACTCAGGTTACGACGATGATGGTGTTGATGGTGATGTTGATGAGCAGGATGGTGGTGTTGATGATGATAACAACAATCATGATGGCGACAATGGTGATGATGACGATGATGATGATGATGGTGGTAATGGTGATGATGATGATGATGATGATGATGATGATGATGATCATGATGGCGAAGCAGATGTTGAAATTGTCTCGAGCGAGGAGCTGGTGCTGCTGCTGCTGCTGATGATGATGATGATGATGATGATGATGATGATGATGGTGATGGTGATGGTGATGGTGATGATGATGATGATGATGAGGAGCATGAGGAGGAGGAGGAGGAGGAGGTGGGTGGTGATGATGATTATGATGACGATGATCATGATGATGATGACGATGATGATGATGATGATGATGATGGTGATGGTGATGGTGATGGTGATGGTGATGGTGATGGTGATGGTGGTGATGATGATGGTGATGACGATGACGATGATGATGATGATGCTGATGATGATGATGATGCTGATGAAGATGATGATGATGATGATGATGCTGATGATGATGATGATGCTGATGATGATGCTGCTGCTGCTGATGATGATGATGATGATGATGATGATGATGATGATGATGATGATGATGATGGCGAAGCAGATTTGGAGGATGTCTCTGGCGAGGCGCTAGTTTCAGCGCGCCCAAGGGAGGCCACCAGGGGGTATCTCACTCGTCTGTTCGCGCCCAGATCGCGAGGATGTCTCGAGCGGTTCGCGCGCACCCAACATCCGGAACTTCTGGAGCAGATTGTGAGGATGCCTCGAGCGAGGCGCTGGTTTTTCGCACCCCAGGGAGACCAGATGTCGAGGATGTCTCGAGCGGTTTGCGTGTTTGGGTGGCCAGATGTGTGCGCGTTCAGAGCAGATTCTGAAGATTTCTCGGGCGAGGCGCTGGTTACAGCGCACCCACAGGGGAGCCGCCAGGGGTATCTCATTCCTCCGTTCGCGCCCAGATTGCAGGGATGTCTCGAGCGGTTTGCGTGATTGCGCCCTCAAAATCCTCCGTTTCCAGAGCAGATGTTGAGGATGTCTCTGGATTATCGCTGGTACTCGCATCACAGAGGCTAAGAATGCGAGGATGTCTCGAGCGGGTTGCTCTTTTTGGTGGCCAGATTCGCGTGCGTTCAGAGCAGATTCTGAGGATGTCTCGGGCGAGGCGTTGGTCTGTGCACTCTGGGTGGTTCAGATTGGGAGGATGTCTCGATGGTGTTGATGACGATGGTGATGATGATAATGGTCATGAATCATGATGTTCATGGTTATCATGCTGATGGATTTGACGAGGACGACGATGATGACGATGACGATGACGATGCTGATGATGATGATGATGATGATGATGATGATGATGATGATGATGATGATGATGTGATGATGTGATGATGATGATGATGATGATGATGATGATGATGATGATGGAGGAGGATGAGGAGAAGGAGGAGTAGGAATAGGAGGAGGCAGAGGATGAAGAGAAGGCGGAGGCGGAGGAGGATATTGATGTAGACTCGTATCCAGTCGAGTAAGAGGATGAATCGAGGGGCAAGAATAGGGCCGTTTTACAGCGCATCTTTTGTGCTTTACCTGGTAAGGCTGAGGATGGAGGTGGTGGAGGACGGAACAGGAAGGAGGGAGACCGGAGCTTCCGACCAGGCCATTCGGATGACGGGGGCCAGAGAATCGAGGATTGAGGCTGCCGCGCAGAGCACGACAGCCCAATGATGATGATGACGATGATGATGTTGATGATGAAATTGATGATGATGCTGATGATGATGGTAATGATGATGACGATGATGATGATGATTCGGAGAATGATGATGATGATGATGATGATGATGATGATGATGATGATGATGATGATGCGGGTGATGATGATGATGATGATGATGGTGCTGGTGAGGGTGATGATGATTCTTCAGCGGAAGAGGATGAGGATGATGAGTGGGATGAGGATGAGGATGAGGATAAGGATAATGATCATGCTGCTGATGATGATGGTGCTGATAATGCTGCTGATAATGCTGAGTATGGTAGTGAGGATGATCATGATGATGGCGGTTATGATGATGATGCTGATTATGATGCCGATTTTGACGACAATGATCACGCTGCTCATGATTATGATTATGATGTTGATTAGGATGATCATTTTGACGGTGATGATCCTGATGATGCCGATGATGATGATGATGATGATGATGATGATGATGATGATGATGCGGATAATGATGACGTTGATTAATGCTACTCATGATGATCATGATGATGAGGTTGATGGATTAGGAGGTTGAGGATGAGGATGATAATCGGGATGAGGATGGTGATTGTGATGGTGAGGATAAGGATCAGGATGAATATGAGGATGCTGATCACGATGGTAATGATGACGATGATGCTAGTATGATGATAATGCCCGTGGTGAGATTGGTGATGACGATCCTGATGATGACGATTATGATGATGACGACGGCGACTCACACGCTTGACGATGATGATGATGATGATGATGATGATGGTGGTGATGATGATGATAATGATGATGATGATGATGATGATGATGATGATGATGATGATGATGATGATGATGATGATGATGATGATGATGTTGATGATGATGATGATGATGATGATGATGATGATGATGATGATGATGTTGATGATGCCACAGGCAGGTTCAAGAGGCCGCGGGAGTCCCCAAGAGGCTCCAGGAGGCCTCAGGAAACCTCAGGAGGGTTTAGGATGCTCCAGAAAGCTCCAGGAGGCCACAGGAGGCCCCAGGAGGCCACAGGAGGCCCCAGGAGGCCCCAGGAAGTACCAGGATGCCCCAGGAGGCCACAGGAGGCCACGGGAAGCGTCAGGAGGCACCAGGAAGCCCCGGAAGGCCCCAGGAGGCCCCAAGAGGCTCCAGGAGCAGGACGCTTCAGAAGGCCACAGGAGTGGCTCCAATCTCGGGTGTTCTACGTATGTTCGTATAGATTGGACCTCCGCTGGAGCACGAGTCCGTGTTGTTTTACGTCTGTGTCTATAGTTGGTCTTTCTCTTGTGTATCCATTCTTCTTTGTTTTACATATGTTCCTATTGATTCGGCCTGCCCTGAGGCACGAATCCTTGATGCTTTACGTGTGATCCTATATTCCTACAGATTGCCCCTCTGCTGCCACCGAGGAGAT